ACGAGGAAGGTGAGGGCGTCGTAGTCAGCAAAACCGGCGGTGGAGCGGACAAGATAACTGAGCCAAGGCTTTGCACTTCAAACAGGATCGGATGGTGCGTGCGTTCGGGACCTACACCCATGCCCAGAACCGCGCTCAGCACAACAGCGATGCGTATAACGAGACGCGGCGGCAAACAAGGCGGGGTATGGTCTGGTCCATCTCTTACAAGACGCGCCCAACCTCAGCCCAGACGCGTCTCTGCCAGACGCGACGCAGATGCGTGCCAGTGACCGCTCCTTGCCCGGTCGTGGTCATCCTGCAGATTATCCCTGTGCGCTTTGCTCCGGGCAGCGTGCCGGCCGACAAGGTGATGCTGCGGTCGAAGGAAGGCGTCGAGCTGGAAAATGAAAGCGACGAGGAGGACGCGAGGCTCACTGAGATTGCGAAGCAGCCGCTGCTCGAAGCGGCTGCCGACGAAGATGCCCAGGCCAGTTTCATCACACAGCAGGTCAGACCGGACCAGCGAAGGCCGCCGGCAATCGCTCCCTCGTCTTCGTCGCGCAAGGCCACTCCGCCGAAAAAGGAAGCGCCGCCCGAAGAGGTGCAGCCGGTTCCCGCGCCAGCCAAGAAAGTCCTACGATTCAAAGCGGCTCGAATGGCAGCCGAGGTATAGATTCTTGCTGAGTCATCTGTTGTATCCCGTGTGTCAAGTCCCAATTCTACTGCCTCGCTGCTGACCGGAGAGTGCTCCGCACAATCGCAGAACATGTACTGCCGGTGCGGACACGTCCTCTTCCGAACTACGTCCAATGCATCACAGGCCAGCTGCGGACCGATCGAGCTCACGACACAGATAAGCATCGTGTGTTTGTTTCTAGCTTGCGCTATGAGACTCTTTGGGGGGCGTATTTGGCTGGAGCTGAAAACGTACTCGTACAAGGTTGACTGCAGAGACGCGTATGAAATCGCGCGGCAGGCTTGAGTTGCTGAAACGTCTTGAGTCACTGGGAAGTCAAAAGCCGGCGGAGAATCCACGAAGGCGCCGCATTGCACATTGCTGGTAGTGAAAGCGTAGAAGTCTGAGGTCCGGTTGCGCTTGCGCAGCACCACGGCATCGTTGCGCTGGAACAATGACTTTGCCATGGAACTCGCGCTGAGATAGTCTACCGCCAAAAATATGGACAACTAAATTGCCTTCGTCTTCGTAGAGAGCCCACAAGCCGTGGTCGAACGTTTTGTGCAGATCCGCGCGAAGGAGTAGTCCAAACGACGGATTAAAGAGGTCGCCTGGAGAATCGCCCAATGCTTCTGTGTAGTACTTATTGGAGTGGCATCAGTCATTTGTGCGTATCGAGAGAGCTTTGAGCTTTTCTTACTTCGGACCTTGACGCCGGAAGGATGTGGCTCGCGATGCATTCTTCCCAGTCAGCATCGGAGACGAAACAAATACCGTCGCGTGAGTGCAGTGCAGATCGGAATCGATTTTGCTGATTGCTGGAGCGAGATGAGGCGCTCACAGTACCGCCATCCGATCCGTCTACAGGCGCTCGTCGATACTCCTTGAAGCGAGGGCCCAGGCGAGCAACGCAAGTTGGTGAGGTGCCATCTGCACGCGAATATGTTGCAGTGCCCGAGAACAAGGGAGCATCCAAGGCCAGAACTTGACCATCAGCCCGATGAAGTCGACCCTGATTCTCTTCCCAGCAGTCGTAAATGACGGAGAGAGCATACTGGACATGGTCGCATCGGCCAGTTCTTGCGAAGGCAAGCGGGATCTGGACGAGCCGCTGACCGGATCCATCGACTACTTGGAAGGTTTCACCGCCCCAGGTCAAGGCAGCTGTGTCATAGGTAATTGATATCATGCTGGATGTACCATGCGGGTCGACATATCAACGACCGATGGATCGGACGCCAAGGCTTCGATGACTGTGGCCTATCAAAGATCGAAAGGCGAATGCATGCATGAGGATACGTCATACATGAGAATGGGAGATTTTTCATTCCTGATAAGGTAGAGATGGCTGATGAACCAGCGCAAG